GAATTGTTAAACGAGTACTGAATTAAAGTCAAGCTTTAAAATGGAGGAAAGTAGCAAACAGTAGCAATTGGTACCGTAGGTATTGCTCAAGAAGGATTGAAAGCGAGAGTGACAAGCGATCGAGACGTACAGCAAATGGAGAACAGATCGAAGAAAAAATTAAGTATCGGCGCCTGTTATAGTCCCCAGAACAATCTGGCGAAAGAATGGAAACCTTCCCAAAACAGTTTTCTTACGGAAAGCAAAATCTGACCTCAGGCGCGTCAGGTGCCAATATCGCACCCAAAAGCAGCTGCTAAAGGCGCACTTGCTTGCGACGAGGAACATGATCTCAGCCGCAGCAATCAACATCGTCTAAATCATAAAAAAGCCAAAACGTCAGGCATCATTAATCTGGGTACTCGGCTCGGTCCTTAACCGTGATACCTTAGACGACGATCATAACAACAACAGCACAGCGATGGAGCAATTCAACTGGATACGTTACACAAACAGTCTTCGGAGAGAAATCCAAACAAATTAACAGAAAAACTGAAACCTACCATAATTAGGTACTCCTTAGGATCCGACAACAGTTTTACCCGCAGCGATATAATTGGCATTTTGTCTGTAGTTTGCACAGGTCTGTAGTTTTGCAAGATGAAACCAACGAAAACAGTGCCTAAGCATCAAACATTAACAAATGAATTCTTGGATATCATAGAAGGACAAACAGCAACTTGCCTCATCATAAAAACCGGAAATATTTGAGAATGAGAACATATAACAAAACAGCTTAACAGGCTCTAACAAAATACATACACTAATAAAGTAGGGCGCAACTTGATCAAACTTTCTGCAAGTACGCCAGAGCAAAGCAAACAGAAGAATTTCAGAGCATTCACGAAGAACGACAAAGATAGGAAATAAACGAAGACGTTTTTATTATTCATAGAAAACTTTCAATAAAGCTAAAGTCAGACAACATTAATCTGGGCGGCCCTGCTGTTTGAGCTCTGTTGACCTCAAATTACGATGTGCAACAAGAAGAGGCAATGTGAACTGAACTAGTAGCAGAAAACAAATAAACTAGCTCTGGAGTTACAAGGAGAGAGTCATGGCACAAAGCTGCGAAAATACAGGGACCACGTTCCGAATGCCTTACTCTACGGTCTGGAGCTGAAAACTGAAATCAACGAAAATTTTAGGGACAATATTAGAAGTAATGTATAAGGTGATAGATACAGGCATAAAATATTGAGAGAGAAAAGGATGATACCAAACTGAC